TACTACGCCTACCTCTTGTTGAGTATCCGCGAGATCTCTGTCCTGTATATTGTTGACTAGTGACTATAAACAAGTCTGAAACATAGAATTATGGTTATTCTGTTAACAACTCAATACACTTACTACACGAAATAAAGAAAAAAAAAGTCTGCGTCCTGGCCCATATCGATAAATAGGATGGCATCGTCAGTGGATGGTTCTTAATTGGTACCTATTGTCTGAAAAATATAAGATGATAATAGTGGGAGTAATCATAATGATTGTGTTACAACCTAAGAAGGTCATGGGGAAGTGTATAATTCCATAGATTGACTTGTGCAGAAGTAGTTCAAGACATAATAAAAGAAGTTAACTATCATTCACACTGTTAATATTAACTAAAAATAGAAAACATATGACCTTTGAAGAAGATGACTAATAAACTATTTTAGTTTTATGTAATAACAATTTATCTTAAGTCAATAGAAAGCAAAGACAATGGTATTGTTTACCTATCAGTCAATCAAAATGGTTTCAGAGCTCTAGGTACCTTGAATGCAAATAAAAACAAATGACCTGTGAAACTGGATTTGTTCGAATCACTAAATTGATTGGAATTTTAATTTGTGTTTATTATGTTCACTTAGTATACAGTGGTCAACTCCAATAACATTTAATTGATTCATAATAATAAGGAAACGACGCCGGTCGTTCACCATTCCAATTAAATTCACACGAGAATGCATTTCAATTGATATGACGCTTTTTTCATCAGCAAACTTTCACGTTGCAGACTTGCGTGCCCTAAACAATGTTTTAAAACAAACTATCGATGCTGGGTTATGCCTAAAGATTCCTAATGTCACCATATTCAACAAACAGCTTCTTCCCTTTAGAAGATGGATGCCTGTTTCTCCCACGATAACTCAGTTGAGCAACCATTTTCCTACTATCATTCTTTAGTCTGCAATCTTACAGTGTACTGAAGAGGTATGTCTGATATGACACATTGCAAATGTGAAGAAAAGTACTGACTTTATCAATCTACTGTTTACGTTAAGATACAAAGATAGCTAGAGGCGGACAAACATGCATTGGTATAGTACACGATATTCATTTATTAAGCACCGATACACTGCGTTTGGACGTTTCCCGTAGCAATTGGTGCATAAAGATAACGATGGTAACTTATCTCATATACGATCATTCGATAACTTTTAGGGCGAAATAATGTTATCTATATTGCTAATATAGAGAAACTAGTAAGAGCCCTAGGTCCGAACCTAGCGGTGCAGCTCCTGTTGGAACATACCGCCTAGAACTTTGTGATTATAGGCTTCACATTGAAGGCGAGTATTCTAAAAGTGGCATAATAAAAACTGACCCTAACAACAGATTACATTTCTCTAATAATTATTCATAATCAGTAATCACTAATAACATAAAAAAGGTGAACACAAAAAATAAGTAATGATGCATAAAGACGAGAAATAAACATTCCAGAATGGTTAAGTGGGGTTGGCGATTAGTTTAAATAAACGAAACATTTTTGTAGACAAATGTATACGGAAAGTGTGCGGTAAATTCGCCCCGAAAGACTCACCCCGGTAAATTCGCCCCCAATAAATTCTCCTCCGAAAAATTCGCCCTTTAGAAGATTCACCCCATAACATTTATTAACCCTCGGAAGTAATAGGTTGGTTTTGTAACATTAAACAAATAACAATTAAACAAAATTTTATGAACTGCTGGCCTGGGAGCGGAATCGCCGGGAGCGAATCTTCCAGGAGCGAATTTGTCGGGGGCGAACTTGCCGGGGGCGAATCTTTCTGGGGCGAATCTTACGGAGGCGAATAGTCCGGGGGCGAATTTACTTAGGGGCGAGTTTTCTTGGAGGCGAATTTACCGGGGCGAATTTTCGGGGGCGAATCATCCTACAGTCATACGGAAGGTAATTGGTACATACGCAATTTCTTCATTCCATAAGTATTAGCAGAAAAATTAAACATTTAGGCGGGATAGTATGAAGTTAACATTTATAGGTACCTACTTACTAATTAAGTCGAGAACTAAGTATATTTTTGGCAAATGAGCAAAAATGGCATTTCTTTTCTTCTTGTTAGCGCATTTTTGCAAAAATCTCTTTCGGCTGGGCCAATCATAAATCAGGCGTAGGTAGATTTCTTTCTGCCATTTTGTTCCAATAGGTATAGCGGAATTGGGTGATTCACGAACTTGACCGAGATTTATGAGTTACACCAACCCTTAAAGTTCGGGCAAATCTGTTCATAATTACGAAAGTTACGAGTGTTTCTTGAAAGTGATATATATAAACATATAAATATACTGGTACCATTACAATAGGTAGATAGATAGAAATCTACCTTTTCGACAACATCAACTTCATTAATAAGATGTTATAGGATACATAGTCAAATGCACAGACTCGCTCAAAAAATTTTATGATTGATGATGATGAGTAATGAGCGTTAACTGTACGTTAAAAAGCTTAATATGATATAGTAGGTAGGTACCAAGGTTGCATTCGTAAATTTAAAAAAATTCACACACTGGCTTTAGTTTCTATGAATATAAAGGGTTGAATATACCTACACACCAACTGTGTATAATCAATTAACAAAAACCGACACAAAAACTTATTAAATAATAGCTAATACCCAAAGCAGCTGATGCTAAATAAATTACAAAAAAAATCAACTAAAAAATCGTATTAGAAAAATCGAGAGAAAAATGTGCAAAGAATTTGGGTTTGTACTGAGACATCTGAAAGCATAGTCAACGATTGGTCATTGACCATTTCTCAATTGCACAGTGAAATCCGGGAAATCAATACTGTGTGAAACATTAGTTCTCTCGCAGTTTTACTACTGTGACCAAATTTATGGTATTTGAGAAACACTGAAGTCAGAAAAACAATAATTACGCCTGAATTTTGGAATAATAAAGCACACTTCTGTTTCATTTCGCTCCCTCTCCCTTTCTCAAGACACCATAAGTATGTATTACAAATTACAATCCACTGCTACCTTTATTGCTTAGAATTGGGTGTAGTTAAGTGGTAGAGCGGGTCTGGGGTGTCTCACCACATAACTGAAGTTCTCCCAGTTAACAGACTACGTAACATAAAATTTATTATCATTACCAACATTTAAAAGTTTACTTTCCATTAATCACTTTTTGTTTCACGTAATCTAATAAATGTCACTTATTGTTATTATTACTTCCTTCGAAGTACTGAAGTATGTTTCATTATCGAGTGATAACAATAACCTTGACATGCCTTCTGAACTGTCAGACGCTAGACCAGACATTATTGATAAAATCTATCCAATTGCATGAGTAGGATTTAAACAAAGAGTAGTACCTACATAGTATAGATATTAGTCAAAAGTATGAATTAAAAAAATTGCCTTCGTCGGCACAAGGTCACCGGCGGACCTTAGAAAGAAGTTTGACTCACTGGGAAAAGTCCACTCAATACCCCCCTCCCTGCCTTTTGTCAAAGGTTTTGTTATATTTAATAAGATTAACATACAAAATTAATACTAACATGTTCATTTTAAGTAAAAGACTTTTACATTTTGGGTAATATAGTCGAAAACCTCGTCGAAAATATTTACCATAACGCGAAATAATTGGAATTTTAATTATTCTCAAATCGGGGGAAGAGTTGATACCTGATACTTTGACATATATGCCTGGCGTCGCCGCCTCTTCCAGGATTTGGTCAACTGGATTTTGTAGATTGGGGGGGTTGTGGGAGGGGGGGCGTAATAAAAATTATGTACACACTCCATGATGACATTTTTTATAAAACGCGAACGAAATCACAGATGTTACGAATTTTGACCATGGTTAAACAGAGCATTTTAAATCAAATTGTACCATGTTGATTTAACAGTTGAACCTCGAGTTGAACTGAGAAAATTGAGGATAATTTTTCAATTTTACCTCATCGAATTTTACTGAAATTAAATCGACATGATACAATTCAGCGAGCAATTCAGCTTAAATTTATTAACGAGCTCCTAGCGAGTTCATAACTTTATTATGTCTGTCCGCATGTCCGTTACCCCGATATCTCGGAAACGAATGGACCGATTGCCATGAATTTTGCAGGTCGATTCTTTATCAAATTTGTAGAGCTTCCGCCCTACAATAAGCGATGCCAATCTCGGCCCACACCCGAACTCGTTTGGTACATTTGATTACACATTTATTTATTAATGAATCAGTATGCGCGAGAGTATGCGTCAGTACCGAACTTGTTTAGGCGTCTATTGATGGGATATATACACACAAACACGAATTACTCTTAAAAATAAAAATAATTTTAACATCCGCAAGATGTACAGAACCATCTATCTGAGACAAGTCATCGCATTATTCGCATTTAGCTTTAATTGTTTTTTTTTCATTTCAAAAACCAAGTTTTTCGTACAGGGTGTGCGCTGTTTTGAGGTAGTAATTTGCTTTTCAAAACTGGAATATTCCCGTCCAAAAACCAGATTAAAAACCGTTATTAAGTCAAATAGGTGTTACCTTGAACTGTTCTTAGTAAATAATTACAAATGTTAGCACGTATCTATTTCTCGGAGATATCGTCTTAATTTACATCTTGTCTAAGAGCACCAAGGGTGCAAAGCTAATTAATTTGACACTGGTCTGCGTTAGCGCCGCTACATAAAAAGCGAGATAAAAAGCTGATATAGCATATAAAATTCGAAAAATGAAGTTTTGAGCTCATACTATGGAATTCATTCATGTTAAGTTAGGTATTAGCTTTACATTTGCACTTTATATAATGTTATGAAATATCAAAGTCCCACAAAGCTTTTGATTGTTGTAAAAAAAAACGTATAAAATACGTTTTACAGGGCCAAACGGATGTTCAGAAACGCGCATTTAAGGAACACCCGAGGGAACACCTCTAATTTTTCTAAAGCCCTCAAAAACCTTCCGTGCACACTCTAAAACTATATAAGCTTCGTAAGTTCTAACGAAACATTGAATATATCGAAAGAACACATAACGCTCTGTAAAAGCCCACAAAGTACCTAGAAAATTCTGAAAGAATCGTAGAGCTATAACATGAGCCCGAAAAGCTTTAGAAACAACCCAAAAGCTCTATGAAACAGATGAAAAGTGCTCTGGAAATCGACTATGGAAAGCCTCAGTGTGCCTTTTTAAAGCCTCCTCAGTGGCCAAGAAGTTCAACGAAAGCACCAAAAAAGACCGTTAGTGCTTTTTTAAGTTTTTCGTATCTATTTCGGTATGCCCTGCATTTTGAAATAAATACGCGCGATCATAGCTTTCGTAAGAAACCTCTGTAAGACTCCACTAGTGGAAATGTGATAGGGTGTACCAAAGATTAATGTCACTCTTACATTGCATCGACCATAAACTGGATGATTAACGTTGTACTTATGCTAAGGCATAGGAGTCCATGTACTCCTCTTATTTTACACAGTGGTGTTAGCTAAAACTCGAGCTAAAAATATTTCAAAATTGTTTCTGTTTTGTTTTATGACACTTTTCAACACGATCGGCCACTTTAAAAAAGAATTATAGCGCACACGGACGGACAGACAGACGGACAAAAATTAAAAGCTATAAAAAGTATTTATAACAAAGAGTTATAGGGAACACAGACGAACGGGCGAACAAAAGGACGGACAACCATATAGAAATCTCTATAAAGGATCTGAGGACGAAGTCAATTTGCGGCATAACCGGAAGTCGTACAAACCTGAAAATGTTTTAGCTGAACCGGCCCATTAAATAACCCATGTTTCGGATATAACAATTCGTCGTTAGACAACTTCTACTTTAATTCCAAGATCGATGTATTTGTAGCTCGATTTGTAGATTCCCAGAAAGATTTCTAAATTCCTAGGAACATCTGGCAACTCCTTCGAATATATCCAGATAAATGATGTAAATTTACAATTACATTTGTGAGTAAATTATTAACAAAAATAACTCATATGGCCCTTCTGCGGTTTTCTGCGCTACGGCTACCCTTAAAAACCTTGACAGAAAACCACCCAATCATGCATTCCAAATTTTATTTTCAAAATTTAATTTTTGAGACTGCTAGAGTGGATTTTGTGACATATCGGGATTTCCAAAACAAAACCTTCCTTGCACAATTGACAATCATTTTACTTGCACGACAATGAGATTCACTTTTCAACCACTGCAACTCGGGTATTCGCATAATTGTGCATTAATTAAATTTTCAAAATTAATTTCCGAATGCATGTTGCAAAAACGTTCAATCGACCACTTACTAAAATTTGATTCCATTTAGTAGAGTAGTTTTCTCTTCATGAGGCTGTAGCGCGAGAGACCCAAAAAAGAGCACTTTTTATATTTTACGCTCAAAAATTTAAAAAAAGCCTCTATCCTCATGCGAGTAGGCCTCGAAAGTACCTTGCCGAAAGGTCCATGAAATATATGTTCCCCATTTCCATGAAAAAATCCATCCATCATTAGAAATTAGAATTGGATTTACCTACATAAAGATTATATATTTCCTCCCTGAACGGCGTGATGCCTATTTCGTTCAAATACATCGATTTCTCTTTTTCTTTATTTTTTCGGATACCATTTGTAATGATTGTTTTCAATTAGCAAAGTAGTAGACTAAATCCTACATTTATTGCAAGAATTATCTGTACCGAATATTCGCAAGTAATAGCAAATTTTAGATAAATACACGTTTTATTCATTTAGACAGCGGGCGGGATTTTTCACGAGCGTACAATTTACCGCGCGGTATTTTTCCAGCCGGGAAAATGACCAGATAGGTATCTTTTACACCTGCCAAAAACTGCTACTGACCCATTTCCTACCTACCTGCCTACTAAGGTAAACACAAATCAAATTAGCGAAACAAATTTGAATGTCCGATGGTAGTTTTTTTGTTTCTTTTAGTAAATATGGCGATTCGGTATGAAGAGGAAATTAATTAGCTTTATAGGTATCTATTGCAAAGTTAAGTTTTACAATTGCATTATAGAGCAAGAACCGACACAACTGTCGCCGAAATGAGATCATAAGTATTAAATTTATTTGGTACAATGAATAAGAACGCTTTTCCGTAAAAATCGAAAACAAAGTATTGGCATTTAACCTTCTATTAATAGCGATTAAAAGTAGAATTAAAAATAGAAAGGCTATTTACCTCTGCCAATGTTTACCTGCAAGAACACGTGCACTTGTATTTGAATTTGTTGAATCACAGAAGTACGTAAGAAGAATCACCAAATTTAAACATTATCTCCCCATTCAATTTGTCTTTCTTTCACTTAACATTTTAGTTGCAAGACGAATCAAAAAGAAAAGATTTTAACGTTCACGTTTTATTCCTGAAACATCATCTTTGATGATTTAGAAGAGCGTCACTCATTTGCTTCGCACCACACAGATGGACCGTACTGTTCTGACTGTAGGAAGACGTACAGTAAAATATACCAACTTCTCTTTTCAATCAGAAGCTGTCCTGTCCCTACTTACTGTCCGTGCGTGCAGCCTACTTAACGTAAATTTAATGCAAAATCTCTACACACCCTCCTTATTCCAAGAGTAAATAATTATTTCACCATTTGCGACCTTATTCGGTTACAAATTAACCAAAATAGATCAAAAATGGCGCTCCATAACAGCGACAAAGAAAATAGGGCTTGTAAAAACCGTGGGATAAGATTTACTCCGACTACTAACATTCCTTTTAAAGATAAAGAACATATGGCGTGCACTTGTGATGCAGACGTTGAATTAGGCTTGATTAGTAAATTTAATATTCGCTTTGTCTATCCGATTTATATCGATCAGGATAACCGATAGGGGTGTTTCGAAAATTTAAATTTGGAGGTTCATTACAATATCAGACAATTTCGAACTATCTATCTACATTAAGTTTTATCATTTCCTTCCTTATTGTAATGTGGGTGTCCGATGATAACCCGGCATCCGGATAGCAGCTTCTCATTCATTTGACAAATTCGCATTAATTTAATTCTTTGAACATTTATCAACTTCGCGCTAACACATTTCCATCACCAAACCATTCAGTAAATGTAAAGTCATGGGATAGTAATCATATAAATAGTTTCCACATCGCACAAATGAAATATAAAATGCATGTTCCAACCAAATGCGTAATGTAGTACAACGTGAAAAACACCTATTAGATAATCGCAACGAAGACACAAGAATATGAACAAGAAAAATCGGGTGGTAAATGCGTGGGGTTACTTTTTTTTCGGAAGTCCTTCTATAACACCCCTTAAAAATGAGTGACTAGCTATGAAATACACATTCACCTAGCATTGTCAACAGTAAATCTAACGCTTACAATTTGTTTATAAGTATTGTCCACTATAACACTTTCTTAGACAAAAATCTTCTACCGGGTGAATACTTTCAAACCGAACATAGGGAATTAACATGGGAAAACAGTTTTTCGCAGATTGTTATTGCTGCCTAAATTAACTTAGAGAGTTCATAATGCCACCATTGGAAAGAAGTAGTGCGGCATATTGGAAGGCCTATTGATATGGCCACCTTGACCACAATCCCGAAACTCGGTTTTGGTCACAACGCCTAACTTGATCTTAGCAACAACGCCAGTATTTAAAATCACTTTACGACGCCTTAGAAAAACCACTTTGAAAAATATAACTCGGCCGCCATCCCTAATTAGAAATGATCCCAGCGTCCACCACAACGTCCAATTTAACCACAATCCCCAATTAAAAAATGATCACACACAACGTCCAACTTGTCCACAACCCTCAACTTTAAAAACGACAACTTGGCCTAACGTCCAATTTTTGGAGTAAAAAAATCCGATACAACTGAATACCGAACGATCCTCGAGATCTTCGCACACACATCATTTTTACAATACACCTTAAGGGATTTGATTCTGTCCAATCAGAGCAGCATATAGCTTGTAAAACAAATTTTTGAATCGGCATTAGTTTTACTTTTATTCGAGGTCCGTATATACAAAATCTCATTTAAATATCTGAACAAATAAAAGACTTGAAATTGCGTATGCGCAAAACAAGTTTTTTGATCGGCGTCAGTTTTACCTTTCATATTTCATATTTTCATAGCAAACGGAGATGTCAATAAATCGGATTGCGCATACGCAAAAACAAATTTTTTTACCAACATCAGTTTTACTTTTATTTGAGGTCTACGTACCAAATTTCAGATAAAAAAATTGGGATTGCGCATGTGCAATTTTTGTTCATCTGCATAGTTACCTGATGTTTAAGGAATATTTACTAACACAGAAAACCGGACATTCATATATTCTTTGTAACAAGAATTATAAAAGAAACCCTTTTTTGGAGGTTTGGGCACTTTTTGGGCTGTAACTTTTTGGCCCGTTAGTCTACGTAGCCGAAAAACAATAGCGACCTTTCTTATATCCCGAAGAACGTGTATCAATTTTCAAAGCCATCAGACGTTTCTACACAAAGTTATCGTGCACACGGGCAGACAGACGGACGGACGGACGGATGATCACTTCTTATTACTTATTGACATTACTAAAACAATTGGTACTATATCGGTGGAACTCCCACAGGGGTTCTTTTTTAGGATCGATATTAAACAATTTACACAATCTTCAATACAACTTTTATGTAAAACGGCGACTTTTGTTCGGTCCCAGAAATGAAACACATTCGAAAGATGTTTATGATAAATAAAAATAAAAAATAATTTGGTTACGCATGCGCAGACCAACTTTTTGAATCCGCATTAGTTTTACATTTACTCGAGCTGCTTACATAGGTACAACATTCCATTTAAAATCTAATTTTTTTGCATCTGCATAGTTGCCTCCCTTGGTGCGTCTAGACACGCTACCGAACCAAATAGCGAAAAATTCCTTTCTTGGTACATGCCTCGACACCATAACGAAAAAAGTAGAACAATAGCTCTTAAGATAAAGATCTAGTAGCGGCAGAACCGTAGGGACGGATAGACGGACGGAGTGCAAAGCATTTTTTTTAATTATTGTGGAAATGTGGTAAAAATTAAGTACATAAATACATACATTGGGTCGTCAAAAACAAAGTAAAGTTACATTGCGTAAAAATTGGCGATAGTAACATAGTCACCTAAAAAACATCAATCGAACTTAACAGGATAACAGTATAATAAAACTGGAACAATCAAAAACCAAAACACCAACATACCTACACGGGGAACGATGGATCCAACCCAAAAAAAAAAAAAATACCTACACATTAAAATATTCCGAGAGGGTGTATATTCCATTCTTGATTCTATTTAAAAATTGAATATTAAACCAATTTTCGGCTAAACCGGAAGTAACAAAAACAATTGAACTTCCAGAAAAATGCAAATGTTTGTCTTATCTAATCCCCAATTTCATTTCTTTATCTTGAAAAGTGAAAAAGCTCTATCACTGGTGGTCTGTGAGTCAATTTTTTCACTTATACTTAGGTATTTGCACAAAAATAAAATTAGAACTTCGGGACAGGATTACTATGTCAATGCATACTTTTCTTGAGTGTAGGTACATAAAACATACGCGCGATGAAATACTTCGTTTGTTTGGGATAATTGAACCTAATATACAAATTGGAAGTGCATCTGAATGCATGCATATTCTGAAAAATTGCATAAATGCTTGCATATTTTAGAAGATTTAAGTAAGCATACCAATACCATATTATAACAAATACTTATTTAGCAATTTTTAGAATCGGGAATACATATCTACATGCTTTATATTAAGATCTCCTAAAACTTCTTAATGGTTAATGCCTCATTTTCACATCTCATTTCATAAAATTGCATTGCGAATTATCACTCAATATAATGATAGGATAAGTTCTGTCCTATCGAGTCTCTTGTAATATGAAAAATAATTATTTGATGTTGTATTCGATTCAAATAAGCTTAGATGGAGTTCAAGTAGAGTAGCTTAAAGATCAGTCAGGAAAACGTACTTGTGCTACTGACATTTTTCTGGTGATGCTAAAGGAAATGTGTCAAAAGTTTTCAAGTAGGTAATTCAGCACCATAAAAATGCAGGCATGTACCTACGACTTTCAGTAAGAAAGTTATAAGGTGGTTCTATTGCACAGAATTCTAATTAAACAAATTCGGTATAACGGTGCTATAACAAAGAAACACTGAATTTGGATAATTGAATGGAGAAGTTGGGTGTTGTGGTCATTCTGAAAAGTTAAGGGTTGTGGTCAGTTCGAATGGTAATTTTAAAAGTTGTTGGTCATTTTAAATAGGGGCGTCGTTGGAGGTTTGGAGGTTGTGATCATTGGGCGTTGTGGTCTGGACCCAATACAAATCTCCAATAAGCACAAGGTACTTTGATTAACATTTTGCCTTGAACGTTTCTTCTTCTCCCTGAAAATATGACCTCATGAAATGCTTAAGTATTCCTCACTGCCCTCGCTCGGAATTGTGGAATTCAAAATATATTCAATATAGTTTTACATACTGACACCCAAAAATTTAGTAATATTAAAAATGTACCCGAAATGATTGTTGGTAATAGTGCAATTTCTGAACGTTGATAACGTGAAATAGAATTGTGAATATGTTGGTGCTATGAACAGTATATATTATCCCAAAGTAAGCCTAATTAATCGATGATTAGCGATTTAACTGTATGTATTTTAGAATTTTTGCCGAATTTGCAACCAGTGTTTCTGTTGTATAAATTGTAGACTGAAGCACGAGAAAAATTATCATCATGTGCACGTGGATTGTGATATCTGCATTTACGGGAAAGCCATTCTCAAATATCCCACAGAAAAAGAATTGTTGCTACACATAGAAAACGAACACTTTCCGGTGCACTGCGTACGTTGCAAAACCACATTTAAATCGACGCATCAATTATCGCTTAACAATAAATGCAAGGCAAAGCATGAAAAGCACGAAATGGTGTTAATTGACACGGACGATCACTTTTCCTCGCCTCCAATCACCGCTACAATGCATAAAAATCCACTAGAGTTTAATAACACGGATTTGAGTACATCAAGCAATAAATGTTATATCACCACCAGCACCCCCATGCAAAAATCGAACGAATGGGGGGAGTTCGAAAAAATGTCCGCGGCAATTACACCGGTAGATTATTCGGAAACTTCGTCGAATGCTGGATTGCATAGTTCAAAAAAAACCTTCATGACACCCATGTCATCGGACCTACCACAGAATATTGAAGCGCAGATAAAGCGAAAAGTCACATTTTGCGAAACGCCAATGATTAACAACCACAACTACCAGAAACCAAAAAGAAATACTGTCAATGACGGATCTTTCAAAAGCCATTCACCTTGTAAGACTTTAGTTTTCTTTCTTAACTCTTAATTGTGTCTTTGGTGTTACAGCGATTTTGAAGAACGCTTTCCTCGAAACAAAGGGTTAGTGTATCTTGTACAAGAGATGATATTTTATTAGATATTTTCAGTGAGTCGAGATGAGATTAACAGCGGCACAGTTTGGGATAGCGCCTTGTCAGATCAACAAACATCTCATAAATCTATTGATATATCTGTGAACATTCAGGCTGTCTCTATACAGGGACCCGCGCCAGTTCAAAATTCGCTAGCCACGGTAGCAATACAATCATATTTAAAGAATACAAAATTGGAAGCTACAGAATCACTATGTGAGTAGGTACTGCTGTAAATTAACAGGTAAAAAAACTATTATTTCAGCAAAAGACGCATTGAAATCGCGGTGTATGTCTGAGACTGACCAATTATTATACTTATCATCCGAATCAAATAACGCATCGTCTTCAATGAAAAAGACGTCAACCGCTGAGTTTGTTTGCGAGAAAGTATTTGTATCTAACTCGATTTTGGGTATTTGCATGCGCGAGTATTGCTCTATTTTAACCAATATTTTTAGTTACTAGCCCTACTCGTATTCCTGACGGTGAAAGGACAATGGATACCGAGCGTGATAAGTCGATAATTAACAAACACTTCAGTGCAGACCATTCTAGTCTATGTAGCGGGTCAGAGAATACTTGCGAATTTAGCTTGGAAGGTGAGGTCTCTAGTAAAAATGAACAGGAGAATAAAGGGCTTTGGTCTTCGGTAACCAAAGCTTGGAAGACAATGTTGACGGGTCTCTCAATAACATCTACGGGTAAGCAAAGTGTGTGGAGAATGACGCACAATTTTGGTTTCACAGAAGCCCAAAATGAAGAAGTTGAAGAAAAAAATATGAAAAGAATCAGATCGGAGGATTCGTTATTGAATGGACCACCAGAAAAGCGAGTAAAAATTGGAGACATTAAGTGCCGAAAAACCATACATTCAGTTCCCACCTTTAGATATGTCACGTATACTAAAAAAACTGTTTTATATTACGATAAGGCGACGCAAACTAATTTTTAACTTTTAATATTTTAAGAAATTTTTAATTAATGTTAGGGTTAATTGCTTTGACTATAAATACATGCATTTTATCTTTTTGTTGAGACTTTTGAGGTGTACGAAAGGAATGATCAGGGGAATGAAACTTTACTGGTCTAACATAGGCACAGATTACGATAATCTGTCACATAGGCATAATAATAATAATAATAATAATAATAATACACTACAAAGACAGGTCCACCCAATAAGCACAGTTAAAAAACACATAACTCCTTCTTCACCGAATCACACCACGTTATCACAACCCACTCGTATTCAACCCAAACGCAAAAACCTATACAGAACTACAGGCTCACAACATACTAAAATATCTCCACCAAAAACCCAAGCAACTTCACAAATACAACCTCAAGAACAAAGAAACATCATAAACACAAGTAACGCAACATGTACTACAAAGACAGGTCCATCCAATAAAGTTACACGCCCTAGCACAGTTAAAAAACACAATACTCCTTCTTCTCAGAAACAACCCACTCGTATACAACCGAAACGCAAAAACCTTAACAGCACCACAGGCTCACAAAATACTGCAATATCTCCACCAAAAACCCAAGCAACCTCACAAACACGACCTCAGGAACAAAGAAACACCATAAATACAATTAAAAAACACAAAACTCCTTCTTCACAGAAACACACCACGTTATCACAACCCACTCGTATTCAACCCAAACGCAAAGCCAAAGAAACACTTACACAATAAACTCCATTTAATAAAATTACAGGAATTATTATAATGATTTTTGTTTTGTTTTGTTTTCCTCTTTCCTGATAGCGTTGGCTATTGTGCCCATCAATAGGTATGTTGGTAAGTACGAATTACATACTATCCCTAGATGTCCAATGTACGTGTGTGATTTTTTTTTTTTTTTTTTTTTTAAGGACCCTACATAACTTCATCAGACACAGACACTAATCGTTACTTGATTTTAATCCGTGCGATTAGTTAACCAGGCTAGACCTGAGTTCTCACAAGAAACACCGACCATAATAATAATAATAATAATAGGTACGTAGTTGACGATTTTAGGCAAATCCCTCATGTGAGATCGAAGGGACTTCAGCGCATTTTTGACTCCACCATCAATAAGATTTTGTGCAAGACTACCACATTCCCTTTGTCGCTACCCATTTCCGACGTCCCATTCGCGTTTGAAGGTTTGACTCCTCCATCACTAAGATCTCAATTCGCATTTTAGTGGATTTAGCTCAAAACCCTCCACAAAATAGTACTCAATTTTTGGAGCACCTCTCATACCTAGAGCTTCTATTGGCGACACGAGGAAGTAGAGAGACAACACGATTCGAAGTCTAAGAAACTTTTGGGCACCCAAACTCGATTACCCCTCGATGACCAGCGCCTTGCAAAAGGTGGTTAATTTCGCCCCTAGGAAAAAAAATCTGTCACGCAGGAGTTGTGCACGTTTACAACATCTTTCTAACGACACCAATTTGAACCAAAACTGTAGAAGAAGATAGGAAAAAACTCAAAAATCACCACGTTCCTATAATACGCTAGGGAATGGTGCCCTAGTGTCGCCGACCCCACATCATGTAGCCCCGTACCTAAGGTTGTTAATTACAGAACCCTGGTAAGTACATGTACAGTCCTCGTCTTTCTACAAGCATTCTTCGACGGGCCCGCCAGCCAGACAACCTGGCCAACTAGGATTAAAAGCTACCTTTTTACAAATAAATTTGCAAAAATGTGCTAACAACTTACACTTACTGTTGAAAGCAGTTAAGAAAGTCGTTACGCAAATGTATCACAAAAAAACAAAAAGTACTTAACAGGATGCGGTCGGACGCGAAAAAAATGGTTCTGTGTACGCAACGATAGTGAAAATTTAGTTCTATTTTTTTCGCTAATTCTGGTCACTCTTTTTATTCCTTGGGATGCCCGCGTATAATTACACCTACCCATATTTCAGGGTCTCCGCCCGATTCCGCAGAACCTACACGCATTGAAATGGTTAGGAAAGGTTGTGAGTTTTGTGAGAGCTATGGGCTGTGTTACCTCCTATGACCACTTTTTAAATCTTTCTTGCAAGCTTTTTAACACATTTTTGGGGCAGTCAATAAAACTGCAATTCGTATTACCTACATGAACTGTAAACGTTTGAATATAGATGTCTTAGGATCAGAGCTGGGCAGTATTCAACTTTGAAAATACTTTTTAGTATTCAAATCCTTTAAAGTATTCAAATACTTTGTAATCAAATACTTTTATGGAAGCAGTATTTGTATTTGTAACTCAAATACTTTCACAAATATTTAGTATTCGAATACTTCGCAAAGTATTTGGATACTTTGAGAAGTATTCGAATACTTCGCATAGTATTTAAATACTTAACCTTCCTTTTTTCCAAAAATCGACTACTCCAAAATTTCTCGGGAAAACACTTTTTCTTATGAATGTTGGTGGGTAGAATCCAAAACAATTCGTACTTTTTCGATCAGACTTCTCAATCAAAAGTTATAGACTAGAAACCAATTTCCAAAGAAAATTCAAAGGGCTGTAACTTTTGATCTTGTAGCCCAATCTTGGAACTGTTTGAAATTATGGATTCTACGTGCCAAATTCTATATAAGAAAATGTTTTTCTCGGTCGATCTCAGACAATTTTTTTCCGGCCTCAAATAACGCAGTACTTTTAAGTTATTCAAATATTTGAGAACAATTTAGAAATGTTTAGGGAAAGTTTCCATTGTCACAAAATGAAATATAAAAATCCGATACAACTGAATACCGAACGATCCTGGAGTGAAACTTTTTGACTCGATAGTCTACGTAACTTAAAAACAAGTTAAAAAGTAATCGTAAACGATTTACATAAAGCGCATTTCCACTTGCATTCATTTCCCAGTATTGTAAGATGCAACTTCTATTAAAATCGTAAAAATCCGGCCACAAATATGAAAGATAGCGTTGTACATGGGCAATCCATTTTTGACGTGCTACTTCAATTTCAGTTTATGAGAAGAATTTCATTTCAATGCTTTTCTAAATAAGAAAGTTGGAACTGCGCATGCGCAAACCTAAATTTTGAAACTAATGTTAGATTTTCCTTTGTTCCAAGCGCCTAAGTATCAAATTTCAGTTAAATGCTTCCATAGATAAAAAAAGTTGGCACTGCGCATGCGCAAAATAAAATTTTGAAACTGGCGCTAGATTTTCCTTTATTCCAAGTGCCTATGTATCACATTTCATTTAAATACTTTTATAAGTAAAAAAGTTTGCAATTCGGTTTATAAATGGTCGAGATGCGAAAAGGGCACTGTGAATTTTGAATCGATTCGATTCAACTTTTGGCATTGCGTATTATATGGCTAAATCTATGCCCATATTGAATTTCATGCAATTCAGTTCATAACTAACGGAGATGTAAAAGCGATCGAACATTTCTAAACAAAGTAATCGTTCACACGACAGATAGATGGACAGACAGACAAAGGAACAGACGGACAGACCAACAGGCAGACGACAGATAGCAATGCAAAATTATAAACGATCTCTAGGATCTTTAATAAACGGCAAAAGTGTAAAATTATGGAACATGTAAAAAACGGTTTTTTGTTTTTTTTACAATAACTTTTTTGTAAGCGGTACAGAAAAAATTCCTTCCTTGGTACAAGACTAGACACCATAACGAACCAAATAGCGAAAAAAGTAGAACAATAGCTCTTAAGATAAAGAACTAGTAGCGTCGCAAAACGAGCGGACGGACGGACGGACGGACGGACGGACAAAGTGGCCACAATAACGCATTTTTTTTTTATTTTTGTGGAAATGCGCTAACAATAGGAACCTTTCTTATATCCTTAAGACCATGTGTACCAATTTTCAAAGCGATCGCACGTTTCTAAACTATCATGCACACGGACAAACGGATGGTCAAAAATGGATCTGTTCCAAAATCGCTAGGATTAATTTCAGAAAGGCGTACGTATCATATGCATGACGCTTTGAAAACTGTTACACGTATTCTTAAGGATATAACTGGTATAAGAAAGGTCCTGGTAGGTACCTCCTATATAATAATAATAATACGCTTTTACTCCCCTTAAATTTGTATATAACAATAGAAATATAAAAAAGCTAACCCCATACAAAGTATAACTTGATTTTTTAAGTAGTATTAAGACTTTTATCTAGTATACTATTTTAAATTTTTAATGTATTTGAGTGACAAGTATTTGAATACTTTTTACTGTATTCGAATACTTTTCAATGTAAGTTAATGAAACACTTTTCAAAGTATTCGAATACTTTTGAAAGTACATATTCGAATACATTCTACAGTATTTGAATACTTATTTTTTAAAGTATTTGAATACTTTTCTATGTATCTGTATCTAGTATTCGCTTGTGCTGGACGTAAAAGTATTTAGTATTCAAATACCTTTGATTTGTGTAAAGTATTTACTATTTAGTATTCAAATACTTTTTGAAAGTATTCTGCCCAGCTCTGCTTAGGATCGAGTGAAAAATGCATATTTCTGAAAAGTTAAGGCGTGGAGAGCTGGCAGAAGTTAGAACAATTACTCTACTTTGATTATATCCAGATATTAAGGAGACAATTACCAAAAAATATAGCAAAAACGACTTGTCTTAGATTGACTGAAAAATTAGGATTTCTGAAGGATTATAGTATAGCTTGAAGATCTGGTAGAAGTGAAAAAGATTACGCTCTTTGATTATAGGTACAGTGGACAAACTTCCAAAAAATATAGCAGAGGGAGTCTTCAGTCTTGCCTCTAAAATTCATGGAAAGTAGTTAATTTTGAATCGACTGAAAAGTGATTATTTCTGAAAGGTTATAGCTTGAAGAGCTAGCACAATTGAGAAAACTTACGCTACTTTGAATTGCGCTCGTGTGTGAGGCAAACTTCACTCTGACAAAAAAATTGTTTGTATTTAAAATCTGTAAATGTAATAGATATTAGAATAACCAAGTATGGGAAATACATATTCCTTGACAAAAATTAAGCATGACCTCTTAGTGGTAACAATTCGCTTCATCAGATTTATATAGGTACATTAATCTTTTTTGTCTCCTGCTCTTCCCCACCTATCTTCAGAATGATCTAATTTATAAGAAAACACGATGTACCTATAGTAATATAGCTCTAATATAAGCTAAAAGAATTGTGCATATTGACCGAAAAAAGACATTTAGGTAGTAGATGTTGCCCTGTAGAATCCAAAAAATCGCAATCGTCAAAATCTACTGGTTTTACAAAACGTTTTATCTTTCTTTTTCTAGTAGTCATATAAATGCAGTCACAATTTTTCGAAGTCCACAGGTCACAATGCATTTGTCTCAAATCGACGGAGAGATTAATTTTTCTGTTAGGTACATTTCGCTTGTAAATTCCAAAAAGAGCCGTTTTTGCTATCACCAAATCTTGAATAATTGAGAATTCATATGTACAGCTCTTTCTAAAATGTTGCTTCTCCAAATTAGGCAGCTATAATAGCCTACCTTTGAATACAGGTTTGTAATCACGGGCCTATAAGTGCTGACATATCTATGTAGGTAGTCAAACAATCTTTATTTTAAGCTAAGTACTATAAGTTATGTATTAAATAAATAATTTGACGAAGCTGCATACATTTTAATAATCTTCGATGGCTTGTTCTTCTGCCTCTCCATTTTCAACAAATTCGTCATCAACCTCGGCATCCTGAAAACATTCGCACATTAAATTGATCAAAACTATAACGTCTACCTGATATTCTTGATATTCAGATATTAAATCCTGCATATTTGAGTCTGCTTCAGTAAACTCTAGTTCATCCATTCCCTCTCCAGTATACCAATGTAAGAAAGCTTTCCGCCGAAACATTACCGAAAATTGTTCGTTGATACGTTTAAATATTTCTTGAATGGCCGTTGTATTGGCAATAAATGTTGAGGACATGCTCATGCCAGGAGGAGGAATATCACAAACCGCCACCTTCACATTGTTTGGTATCCATTCAACGAAGTAGCTTGGATTGTGTTTCTGAATATCCAACATGCATTGGTCGACTTCCTTCATTGACATTTGTCCTCTAAATATTGCAGCAACAGTTAAATAGCGCCCTAAGCGTGGATCACAGGCCGACATCATACTGCTTGGATCAAACATTTGCTTTGTTAAATCAAGCACGTTGACGTTTCGATACTTTAGACTAGACTTAGGTGTTAATGGGGCAAATCCTGGTACGAAGAAATGTAATCTTGGAAAAGGTACCATGTTTACAGCTAGTTTTCTGAGATCAGCATTTAACTGGCCGGGAAACCGCAAACAAGTCGTAATTCCTGACATCGTTAACGAAACTAAGTGATTTAAATCTCCATAGGTTGGACTTATCATTTTCAAAGTCCGAAAGCATATATCGTACAATGCTTCGTTATCGATACAGTGAGTCTGATCACTGTTTTCAATTAATTGCTGCACTGAGAGAGTAGCATTATACGGTTCTACAATTACTTCCGATACTTTTGGAGATGGAAAAACACTAAATGTTGTCAAGATCCTATCGGGATACTCTTCTCTAATTTTGCTTAGTAGAAGCGTACCCATTCCTGACCCTGTACCTCCTCCTAAAGAATGAGTCAGTTGAAATCCTTGCAAACAATCGCATGCCTCGCTTTCTTTTCTGAGTATGTCTAATACGTTCTCTAATAATTCGGCGCCTTCCGTATAATGACCCTTGGCCCAATTGTTACCTGCACCGCTATCACCGAAAATAAAATTATCCGGTTTGAATAGACTCCCATAATATCCCGATCGGATCGCGTCCATTGTACCTGGTTCTAAGTCGATTAATATCGACCGAGGTACGAAGTTTCCATCAGATCCTTCAGTGTAATATACATTGATTTTTTCCAATTGCTCCGCATATTGGCCCACGTATTTTCCGTATCTGTCGATTCCATGTTCGTGAGAAATTATTTCCCAAAACTGAAAAAAAAACATTTTATTACGCAATTCTAAATTAACTTTATTATTTCGTTTCTTTTGAGCCATCAGTTTAACTTTGTTTGATAAAGAACAGAAGAAATGTTCTCTTCATCCCCTAATTGGGTATTTGGCAAGGTGTCTGTGACGGGCCTAATTAATATTAAGCATTACGTTCAATTTAATCGAAAGGGGAAACTGGTCTGATTTATAATGGCACTACGAGGCTCCTGTTGAAACATATCTGATTGGAAGGGTTTGCATTCGTCAGGTACTTCACCATGTTTGCGCTAGGTGTTATAATAGGTACTTAAACAAGCCCTTTTCCTAGGGAACGAAGCTGCACATTGACCATTGTGTACATTAGTTCGGTACTGATCTGCGAAAATTGAACCATCGCCCCTCACTCCCAATTTCATAAGTTTTATTTGTTTGAGTATTTTAGCAGAAATTGAAACCTTCACTTTAAAAAAAATTCGTTAAGCCGCTTATGAGCAAGAGTTCACTTTCATATTTGTTTTTTCGATTTGAACAGTAGGGCGGAGTGAATTTTTCAAGTTTTGAAATTTAAAACGCCTGTGTGTCAAAAGGGTGTCTATTTATCTCTTTAATAAGATGACAAAGTTTGACTGTCTAAAAATAATATCTTCTGCTGCCGAAATGGCTCTATGTTTTCAAAATATTGTCGTCCCTTGCAGTTTAATTAGGCCCTAAACTATTATGAAGCGGCAGAGTAAAGTGATGCAAGCTTATTTAGTGGAGTCGATGATGTGTGTCTGTCTGTTTGTTTGTCTGTGAACACGATAACTGGCAAACGCCCGCATCGATTAGGTTCATACTTTTCACGGTTGACCTATATGCCACATGTATAGCAAGCCCGTTGAAAATGGGTCAAATCCAATGACCACGTGGGGTCACACTGCCCTGCCGGTTTTCTAGATATACGCGTTATACGCGGTTTATTACTTCGGAAAAACAATTTAATGTGTATACTGGGCCAATCTGAAAATATACCCCACCATTTAAGTGCTGTCTTCAAAAATTTTGAATCGAAGGGGAGGAGGGGTTAAAAGTTGAGACAAATTAAAAATAGAGATTGCCCGTAGTCCGGTACACGGTTGGCATGTGTTTTCCGTAGTGACTGCTAGGGAAGAACAAGAAAAGCGAGGTGTTATGCCTTTTATGACAGTTGAAGAGGTGCCGATCGAAATTCAACGCAGAATAGCTGGTGTCTGTGGTGAGAATAGTGTCAGTTGGATATCATTTCCACGTTTTTTGACCCATGAAGAAGCACTTGAAAGATCGCCGTTACATGTCGAATGCAGAGGTGCTGGACGAGGTCTGTGATTGGATCGCTTCACTCCCGAGGGAATTCTGGGAGCCAGGCATTCTTGGTCCCGTTCAGCAGTGGGATAAATGCTCTTGGAATGAAGGTGCTTATTACCTTTGTAAGTGTAGCAGTCGGGCTTCATTTGACTGCGCCATTAGTAAGTTTATTCAAGAGTTGCCCTTAAAAGGAATATTACAGCGTCGAAAATCAAGAAGATAAACGGAGGAGGCGCGAGAATCTTTCAAGTGCGTAACTTAATTCTAATTGCGAAGACCATGTTGACTTAATTGGCTGGCAACGTGTTATCAGCGAACCTTCCTCAACAATGAGAATATCACACAAAGAATTAACGAACATGATATATTTGGTGCCGGATAATACCCCTTCTCAAATTTCCTTGCCATTGACAGGCCGTTGAGGGATGTATAAAATTAGTGACATAAAAACCTCTATGGCAGATTGCGATTGTGATGCTTGAGATTTGGGAACAACTTAAGACCTTCTGCAGGGGCACCTCTAAAAAGCATTATGCGGGTCACTCTGTAATTGGGCGTAAACCTGTTTAGGACCTAGAACAAGAGAGACAATAAATAAATAAATAAATAAGGGCTTGTATTAAATTTACGAGATGTGTTACTGATTTGAAGCATTTGAACAGTTTCTAAACGCTATAGAATAAAACTAATAAATTTATTTTTATTTTTTTGCGGGAGGGCTAGGGTGGAACATGACATGCAATCACCTCCTCGTAGGAGTTCTGGGTTGTTTCCTTAAAAAATAAACAAGCTAAGGCCTGCATTTGATTTTTTTTAATTTTCAAGAAATTCGATTTTGTATAATTTTCAATGTCATTTCGGCAGCCAAAGACATGCTCCTAAAATTTTCAAATATTTTTTTTGACTTGGCAACTCAAAAGAACACCCATGGGTACACTATTTTCGGAAATTGTTAATTTTATGTTTACTTTCGCTCCGCCCTATTGAATAACTGTTATAGACATGTCATGCCTTGCCTTAACGAGAATACAAACATGAAATAATTTTTAATTTCTGATCGAATGACAGTGTGACACCAATATCTACCAAGTCTGTGAATGGTGTAGTTCCGGAGCCTTTGTGACTCAGACAGGCAGACAGACAGACAGACACCAAGAACGCAAAAGTGCACTTTTTATTTTTTGAAAGTAAAAGTGAACTAATAAAAAACAACAGCGTATGCTTAGGGAAGATCCGCACAAGAAAATTGGATAACCAGTTTCTCTTTCCTAGCGTTTGAGAAGAAAATACGACACTAGGAATTGGTTGATTATGACAAACTTTTAAGCACTTTAAAGTTTGAAACGAAATTGAGATTAGTGGAGGAAACTTACGACCATCGAGACGCAGAAGATTTTTAACGATCCTGCAATCTCTTCCTAACGACTTAAAAACTACCAACTAATGAGATTCAAAATACTTAGACAGTCCAGCTACGGAAGTGAAGGGGATTAAGCCAGTCGACACACAGAAGAGACACGTAAATCGCGAGAATCGCAAATTTTACACATTTCATCGTTCCGAAGCCGAGAAGCCGTTTAAACCTTTCTAAAGCAGGCCTTCCACGTGCATTCATTTCATCCTCCTACAAACAGACAAAGTTCGAACATGGAAGTGGTCATCGCGCAAAGTTTGCCAATCCTAAATTCTTGGCGCGGAGCGATGCTGGGCGCGCGCGTGGATGTGGTTGTCGCTCCTGGAGTTAAGACATAAGTGAGATAGATTTACGCATTGTAGTATATGAGGAACCGAAAATGCATATCGTTGTTTTCGTGTGCACAGTCGTACCTGTATTTGTTCGCCAAGTTTGTACGAACCATGTGCCAACGTGGAAGTGGTGTTTCAACATTCTGTTCCAAGTTCGAAGACATGGCGTTAATTCAAAGTTCGATGAAATGAATGCACGTGGAAGGCCTGCTTAAGCTTAAAATGCTCCAGAAGAATTTCTCCGCAAATCAGAAAATTGTATCCGATGCGTATGTCCGCGTATTTATAGCGCTAAAATATAAAAACATGCGTGTGCATACTCTCTGCAGAAAAAGGGAATATTGTGGTACTTCCATTGTTCCATAGCACTTTTTTTTAGAGGCAATTCCAACGACATATTCGCTAACACTTTATTTTTATTCGGATATTCACACTTAAAATTTTGATTCCGCCAACATATACGCTCGTTGGGACGTGTCAGTGTCCCCTTGTAGGCAGTCTTCCGCACTCTGTTCTCAAGAAATATAACCGATTTCGATAGAAAGTAATATGGGGAAATCTATCCGGTTGGATTACATGGTGGACGTACAGTGCGAACTATCGGCGTGTCATGTCGTGTGTCAGGGTGTTGGAAGGGATAAGGCAATTCGGCTTTAGTCTTCCTACTTTTCTATGAAAGCTGGAATGCCAGAAAGAATCTGATTGTTTGGAAACTTGAAACAATATATGCCTAACATACCTACAACAGTACGGAAATAAATAGAATACTAATTAAGCCTCTGAAGTGCCAAATGTAACAGTAGTTAAATGCAGTTCGTTGCTAAAAAGTTCCTCCAAATAAGAAATAGAGAGGCAGCGTGACAGGTTCGTCTAGGACAAAATATTAGAATAGTGCGATGTAAGAAAGGAAATGGGTAGGTAGGTATGTACGCGCAAAAAAGGAATAAAACCTTATACCCTTGTAAGGATAGGCAAAGGGATCACTGTAAAAATTGTACAAATCCGGCGTCTGATCATAGAGCAGGTGTAACCAGTGGGTTTGTGGAAGTCAAGTATAATTGTGTGAAGAACCATCAGCAATCATCATGGATAAGGAAAGCAATGAAGATCGTGGCAATGCGAGACACTGAGAATGGAATGAAGAAAACTTCACATTATACCTCACCGAGCCGACCACGCAGGCAAGGAAGACCTCCGCTGGGTAGAAATTTGCGATGCACCGCTTTTTGGAGAGCCGGTGATGTCTGTCTGTCTGCCTGTGAACACGATATAACTGACAAACGAGTGGGCCGATTCGCTTCAAACTTTGCACAGTTGGGCTAATATGCCACATGCCCTAGGGTCACACCGCTCTGTCGCTTTTCTAGATCCGCTTTACACGCGGTTTATGTTTGTTCGGTCAATTTTCATGTAGATAATTGAAACATAATTTCACACAAGATATATGTACTCACCGTACCTGCTATACCGAAAATTGGCCAATAGCATTACAAAACAGATGTAAAACTATGATTGTGAGTTATGAATCATGAAGATCGTTAGTCACTTTATAAGTATAATTCCATAAAAATCATATGAATATAAATTTATATTGAATTAAGGTATGTACTAGTTCCACAGTTTGGAAGTTTTCATATTTAAAAAGATCAAGAAGACATATGCACACAAAAACGATTGTATGAGAACCACGTGGTATATAAATGAATAATTCAGCACAGATGCGTTTTAAATGAATATAGTAGGTACTTACTTTGGATCCAATTTGATTACCGCATTGTCCTACTTGTAAGTTTACGATTTCTCTCATTTTTTAAATTATTGGATCACACACCCACACTTAAACCAAACGTTCACAAAATAATGCCGTTATTTTTAAGTGAGTAATAAAAAAGATAAGATAACAACTGAGATATGCATATGAAATCAAACTTTGTACCTTGAACCTATTATATAATGGTGCGAGTTCTAAACACAATGCATACAAACCTTCTGAATGAATAATTACATTAACGAGCAATTGATATTTCAGAAACAATACGACCCCCTTGAATTCAAAAATCACAGAGCCTATCCGAATTATGTGGCACGTTGGACAAATATGCATGTTCCCCTCAATTTTCCGGAGTTAGTCTCCCCGCCTTACTGATGAGAAACAAATTGCTCGTCGCCGAATCAGAGAGATTTGGGGCTGGTCAGTATCCAACACAACAGATGAGTGTGAGCCTTTCTGGGATTACGATCATCATCTCCAACGCAGGAGAGTGTGGCTGAGAAAAGCGTAATGTGCGTGGGTTTGTGCTAAGTAATGGACCGGACATACGGATACGCCCAACGGATCGCAATTACTAGTCATTGCATTGCCAGGGCGCGCGGAATATTGAGAAATGATAGTTTTAAATTGGAAGATCACGAGACGTGATAAAGCAATTGTTTGAAAGAGTTAGTTTATTATACGTTCATTTCATCAAGGATGAATATCTGTTCTCAGAGCTAGAAGCCTCATCTATCCACAAACAAATCTATTGTTTTTCCGCTCCTTCTTATCGCTTCCATTTTATTAATCATTGATTTGGAAAGTATGGTTGCAACACCATATTTTAATCTTCACATCTTCTTAACTGCCAAAGTATTGCGCGCCTCCATATAGGTACAGTGTCGTATGGTTTCTGCATATCGAAAAATATACCGATTGTATTCTTTCGCGCCGTAACGTTATTTTACATGGCGGTCTCCAATTGTACCAGGTGGTCCACAGTTGAATATCCCAGGCAGCTAGTAAACGATATAGATATGGACACAGATTAACTACCTCCTGTGATATGGGTCTGTAACTACGCGGCTGGCTATGTTCTTTAACCGGTTTTATAATTGGAACCATAATAGCAAGCTTCCATTCGTATGGATAGAGTCCTTGATTACTTTTAGGATTTCATGGCCAGGGCGAACACTGCCGACTTCTTTCAGAAATCTATTGACCTGTGCCATTATGAAAGTATATCGCATTCTTCGAAATTATTTCTTGATTATTAACGAGCTCCTATAGCAAGTTCATGATTTTGGACTTCTTGTCCGTTCGTGGACAAGATTACTCCCGCGAACGGTTTTGAATTTTCCAATTCTGTTTTTGTTGTTTATCATCACCCAAGGAAGAACTGATTAAATGTTCAGTGACCCAGGATCTCATTTACTATATTTGTTAAAAGTTTATTATTCTTCTTACTCCCACTCATTTTTGTATGCTGTGAGTGTAAACTTTTCTGTGTAGCTTGCATCACTAGATACGTTTTCGTAGTAGTTGACCATATGTTCTGCAATATCGTCGCTGTTAGTGCTAGTTACCAAAGTGTCGTTGATGTTTTGAATTGGTGATTCGCAGGAATGTGTTACTCTTCATAGATACCACACTATCCTTTGCCGATTATACCTCTTAAAACAATGAAAGTAGCGTAATTTTCTTACAAACATTCATTGTTTATTGAGAAGGTTCTCCATTTAAATGATCGAAGAATGTGACGTAAGCATTTCAGCCTCAGTAAAACCTTTGGTAAAACATTGCATCACAGATAGAAAGCGTAGATCAAAATCAAGGGCGAAAAAGAAAAAAAAGCGTTCCCAGATAGAGCGCGGTCTGATATTTGTATTCTATTTAAATGTATTGTACTTGTTAACCCGCTCCTCTCTATTAGAGCGGTTGTATTTTACAGAAATCGCGCGGTCCGACAGGTATTTTCAGTTGTGTTTACACGGTAGAGGATACCTGATCACACCTAGAGATTGATTTCCGTCGTTCGAAATTGTATTGGCCCCATTTCCTCTTGCGCCCTTGAGTTAATGCAAACAAAAGTAGATCTTCTTCATTTGAAGAATTGCTAGACATCTAGACCTTCTATCGCCCAGTCAATAATGACGCAAAATTAACGCGTTTTTGGAACTTCTGTAGAAATAGTTGAGTGCCCATTCAGTTGAAACTTGTATCACAAATCCTTATAAAGGAAATAAGGTTTGTGTGCTACACAACTTCATAGCAAGTACAGGTTTACAGATTGGATGCGGATAATGTTTAAAATGGTCATAGCTATAGCATGCACTCTGGGTTTCCACTGTGCTGCCTTTGTAAACTCGAAACGTTTTTTTTAGATGCACTTACAACAGGTCAACACACTCGTTTCCAGTGTTCCCCTTTTACACAACAGATTACGATATAACCAGTTCAATCTTAACAAATTTCAGTCTACATTGACTTTGCTTTAGTTTAGTAACAATATGGTTACTTCAGCAATGACAGCCTTAAATAGAACGAGAAATGCACCGAGGCAGATCTCACAAACAAAAAGGAGGTGGACGAAGCCCGTCCGTGCTATGCATCGAGTTGATACAGGATGTGACAGAATAAAGCAGGAGTGATTTTTCAGCGAGGGATTTAAAAAGTGGTGATACGCCATATCAGCATCTAAATCTACTGCAGGTAGAATGTATATCTCACCAGTGATGATTTAGAGAATGTATGTACATTAATCCCACCAATGGAGAATTCATGTTTATGGAAGAGAACCACTACCAAAAATTTGTGTAACCATGTAGTCACAAACTTCTGAAATGATTTAGAACAAAGTGAAGTTTCATCACTTCAGTACGGGAGTCTCCAAATTAAAAAAACATACCTGATTCGATTCAAAACAATGACCTAGGAGTCCAAGGTAAAATTGGCTCCTCTCATTGTAACAATTGTACCATAACATTTTCCGTGTAACTAAAGAAGTGTTAGAAACTGCATAAAAATTTACTTATATTACATAGAACTTACATGTTTTTTTTTAACAACTGATCAAAACGAATCAAAAGGATGATAACAATGGTAGGTGGTTCATATAAATGCAAGAGAACATAATTATGGTACCTTAAAACTAAAAAAAAATTTAAACTCAAAAAGCACTCTGTTTGACAAAACATGATATCAAAAAAGGAAGAATACAAAAAATAATGTATCGAAGGACGGTGGTGGGCAAATCCTCCTCCAGATGCCTCCATTGCGTTTAGACACTACCACTAAATTTACGGTTTGTCTGTGAGTTCTTGGTACCTGGCGTACATCATTTTTTTAACACAGTCCTTATATGACTCTCCTGCAACTGCTGTATATGCAGACTTATTACCCAAACCCACGGTACTATTACGTTGTTCCGCCTATAAAATAATTAACACTTACCTATATTGAGTCATAATGCAACACTGAGCACAATACCTTTATCTAAGCTTTACAAAGAGTACTGTGCCATTTCGTTAATTGGCTACAAGTTCTACAGTGTATATTACAGATTCAAGTGATGTGCTCCGTGCTGAATGTAAAAGCGAAATAATTACCTGGATTATAGTGGTACGCCCTTGATTCGCTTTTCCTAAACCTTGACCTTCAGTCCAACCCATTTTCTGCAATAACCGATTGCCTACATTCTCTGATCCGATAGGTTCAGCGACTGAAGACGTAACAGGTAAGTCGACTAACTCTCTCGCTTTCAAGTATTTTTCTTTTAACTTGCTGGGTTGCGGTTCATCGGTATCACCGTACTTCATTCGGCGTTCTTTTGCTCTATCGCGATATACAATTTTAGAATGTTCGCTGTCGACTTTCTTTGTACTACATTTCCTGAGCTCTAGATTCTTTTTATGTAAATCGGATAATTTGGCATGTTTTGTTAAAGCTTCAACGGAGGTTAATTGGCGCTTACATAAGTTGCAAATTAATTTAGTAAAATCTAAGAAGTCCAATTCTTCATTTGGGGCTTCATCCTCGGACGATTCGCTCTCTCCATATGCCGCAACCAACGGAGTAGATTGAACTATATCGACAGTAGTTTCAGGTTGAATAGTAGGCGGACAATTGATTAAGGCTGGCGTTCCGTTCTTCTTCTCCAACACCGAATAACCGATATCCGCAGATCCAACTAGCCCTTGCGGATTGAAGTTACCCTCAATATTAGTCCGGTACACCGCAGATTCTTTCTTTTGATTCAGTGTTTTCGCCCAGCGTTCCATATCTTTGGCAATCTTCTTGGCAACCTTCACTTTGTCCTGCTTTTCCGGTTTTAACTTCTTCGCTTCTGGTTCGGCAGACATTTCCGCTGTGTGCTGTATTCCAGAGTAGTCGTACGCAGTTAAGGGAGCTAGCAAATAAGTTAGCTTCTCGTGGTCATAATATAAATACTTTTGAATAACTGTGTTCCAATAGTATGAGGAATTTGGATCGTAGTATAAGCCAGTCGAGCAATCGTAATGGTAGCCACTGCTTTTGTCATACGTAAATTTAGACACATCCGGAATCGCTGTAAATAAAACAATAGAATGGGCATACTAAATAAATCGATAATACTTACGATATCGTTTCCCATCGGAACCAGTAGGAACAGCAATATGCGTAGTGTCATAGAAATTTTTATTGGCGTGCATTTGTTGTATGGCTGATTGAGCGACAGCAGCAGCAGCATTCGCCGCATCCATTTGGTTGTCTTGGTGCAGTGTTATGGAATTTCCAGCTGTAATCTGCTGTGTAAAATAGCTCTTGTAGTACTCGTAGTATTGTTGATATTCCACGACACTTTTTGCGTAGCGACTCGCCGAGTATTCAGCTAAACTATCGACGTCATTTAACGTATACATGCTAGGTTGGCTAGCATTAGGAAAGGCCGCACTTATTGCTTGATCGTGTGATTTTTTGGTGTCTCCCATATTGTATTTACAGTAGGACATGATCACTATTTAAACAGAAAAGCAAACACATTCAGAAAAATGTAATATCAGTCATACAGAGAAACTACTAACAAAAACTGTAAGTAATTGGATGCTGTCACCACTTCAGTTAGGTTATGAACACCCCATCTGGTGTGTAAACAAACAAAACACACCCCTATAATTTTGGCGGAATTCGCGACATGAATATAAAATTTTGGTGGGTGATATGGGTAAAAATGAACTGAAAGCTCAAAATAGTACTTCCTTATCACTTTCAACAGGAAGTGACCCTACATTTCAAAATTTAAAAGTACGCTGTATACTTTCACATTTTTGGATTTTACAGATAATTTTGTTTCTTGTAATTTCTATGAGTTGGTAAAACTTTTAGTTCTTCAAAGTTATAGGAGCGAGTCTAGTTTGGTTTACACATTGTACTGGTTTGGGGGAAAACACCATTTAAACTATGGTAGAAGTAATATTTACAGTAGGGCGTCACTAATACGAACCCTTGCTTATCCAGTGATCACAGTAATCCAGACAGAAGATCGACCTGCGTATACGTGCCTACTGTGTGATTTCGTTATTGTCACTTGCACGACTTTCGCAAAATGGCGCCACTCTGTCGTAAACATTCGACGGACTATAAAGGACGAGGATAGATAAAGGGGATAGCTACCTTATTATTTCTCAAAAGTTTAGTATTGGCAAGTCAACTGTAGGCGATATCAAGAAAAACCAAGAAAAAATCTTAAAGTTTGTTACGCTAAAGGTACCTTTACACTATCATACTTCTCATGTGATTTGTCATATGATAAGTAACAAGCATTTAGATTTGTGTTTACACTATACTATTTTTGGTATTATGGCTGTCATAAGACAAATCATATGGAAATAATACGTAAATCGTGGAATAGGGATGTTTCTATTTCTGCATGACAAATGACATGACTTATTTTAAATATCCAAGTGATCCCGCCCTTTTATGGTTACTTTTCGCATTTTGCTGTTGTACTTATCTGAAAAAGCTGAATAGTTGAGTAAACCAGTAAACTTTTGATTATATCATTGATTATAGGTGTGTATAATCAATGGGTATATTAGTTACTAATGAAAGAATAAATTACATAAACAATAAATCGAGCAATAAATATTTACGAGTATATTGGTATTTGGTTGTCTAGTTGTAGTGGTGTTTTCAGACACACATTGTCAAATAGTGTCTTGATTGGTAATTAACCCTTCAAATGTTTGGGGTAATCTTTCAAATAAGGGTACACTCATCCTTAATGTCGACCAAGGGGACGACTCTGTTTGCTTTGTTAATGAAACGCATAATGGAGAAATTATTTTTTAAATAATTGTTAAACTTTTTTCGTTAAAAATGTACTATGATTTTTGAGGCACTTTAGAAGTTCACCTATTTGTGCTTTACAGGTGATTTTTTTGAGTTCTAAGTTAGCCTGAAGGTACTTTTTTGTTGAATACTTATTGTGATAATTAGCGATTTATTTTAATACAGAAGTTAACCGCACAAAATTGCTTATTTGCCAATTTATTTAAAATTTTGCGGGATCCCGCAAATACCGGGTTCCCGCGGGATTAACATCTAACGATCCCGCAAATACCGGGATTGAGATTTTGCTGCGGGATTGCATTCCCTAGCTGTAACTTTTGAACTAGTAGCCCAATCTTGGAACTGTTTGAAATTATGGATTCTACAGGCCACGTTCTATAAGAAAAATTTTTTTCCGGGTCGATCTGAGACAATTTTTTTTTTCGGGGCAAAAAAAACCTTCCCTTTTTCCAAAAATCGACTGCACCAAAATTTCTCGGTAAAACACTTTTTCTTATTAATTTTGGTGCATAGAATCCAAAACAATTCGTACTTTTTCGATCAGACTTCTCAATCAAAACTTATAGACTAGAAACCAATTTCGAAAGAAAATTCAAAGGGCTGTAACTTTTGAACTAGTAGCCCAATCTTGGAACTTGGAACATTTTAATTTAGAGAAGTTATATAGGTTTCGTAACTTCTTGTATTAAAGTCATATGAAAAACCTGTCAAGTGTAAAGTAAAACATTAAAACTCATACGAAAAATATGTTGGTAGTAAATATCATATAACATATCATATAAAAAATCATGTGAGATATATTATAGTGTAAAGGTACCTTTAATAGTTTCAGATTACAAACAATGTTCTTAATATAAACAGAACGCGGTCCCGGTGCACGAAAACAGCGAAAGTAATCTGAAAATCCAATTTTGGAGAATGCCTTGTTTCGCCAGATCACAAACTCTAGTACAGGGTTTAATGCAAGCAGAGGGTGGTTAGATAACTTTAAAAAGCGTCATGGAATTAGACGGTTAAAACGGAGGGTGAAAAACTATCACCTGATGAAACTGCTATCGGACCATTTCAGTTAAAAAGAGTTACAGAACAGCTGAGCAGGTTTACAGTGCTGATGAATCTGGTTTATATTGGCGACTGTTGCCTGATCGTACTTTAGCATCAGGTGGTGAGCAGTCAGCTTCCGGGAGAAAAATGATGAAAAAAAGAGCTGGTTTAATTTGTTATCGTCCTCAGAGAAATGCTTGGGTTACCAAAGACTTGTTCATGGAGTGGTTTGAAACTGAATTTGTTCCTGCAGTCCATCGCCATGTTCTAGTGAACTTACTTCCTCAGGGTCCCTGCTGGACAATTGCCCCAGCCATCCATCAGCTGAAGATGCCGTTACTGAAGACTGGAATATTTTTGCCGCCTAACACCACGGCGTGTATACAACCAATGGATCAGAACGTCAAAACAAAATGTGAAATTAAACTACAGGAAATCACTTTTGATTACTTGTCTTGCCAATCCATTCAGTAATGAAAATCTCATCGATTCATTAAAATCAATAACATTGACAGATGCAGTTTTCAATTTGCCTAACTGGTATGTTACTTCGTCATTTGAGAGACTGTGCTTTCGAAATGAAGTACGAAAGTCTTAAACAGAAGAAGATTACAGACTTTTGTTTTGTCTCTTTCTATAATTAATGTAATTAATCATTCATTTATCCATTATTCATTTTGCATTCGATAATCCAGACACCTTGACAATCTGTTCTTTGCCTGTTGGAATTAGCAAGACCCTACTGTATTTACTTTTGATATCTAGGTGCTTTAAGTTCTGTCTAAGTTTCTCGATAAAATTAATTACGTTATGGATAAGGCATGGTGTATAATAATGACAGGTGTACTCTCTGCTTATCAGTGCTGTAAGAAGAATGATGGTTTTTTACAGTGCGTTCGAGAAAATAGGGTCACCTCAATCTCTTTTATTTGGCGAGATACGAAAAATTTATCAAATATAATTGTATATGTGACATTGCAATCAACCCAATCACATATTGAAATCACTTCCGGTTGAGACAACTTTTGTGTTTCAAAATGAATGTCTATATATTTTTTTTAATCTTTGAAAAGAGCCGTTCGACAACATAAAATATGCATAATGTTGATACACAAAAACATCGAAAAACTAGTGAAAACGTGAAATTTACCATGTCGTGTGCTGTCAGGATGCGCAGTGTCTGTTATGTTACCAGTTACACAGGGATTGTATCGCGCAAAAGTTGATATAGGTCTTTTCTGTGTAATATAACAGAGACGGCACATCATGATAGTAAAAGACATGATCCAGTCGACATCAACTCCTCCAATGACAATCACATAGAAAGTTAGCACACCTATCTTATCATACACCGCGGCATAAATAAGTTGGTGCGAGTTACTTAGTTACTTACCTGTTTTGCCATCAATCGTTAGAGGAGGATTAAGATTTGTCAACGCTCCGTATAACGCTAGAGCGTCCACTGTACTCTCGGTCCCCAGATAGCAAATACCCCGTGACGTCGATGTAAGAGGATCGCGTCCGATGCACACCCCAGAAACGTGCTTAACCATTTCGGGAATAGTGCACGTTAAAACTTGCATAACGGAATCTTCTGTGGTTAAGGCATCTAAATTGCGAAGCATTATTGCTAAAAGACACAAAACTGTAACACCGAGAACAAACAATGAAAAAAATACTTTTTGTGACATAGTTGCAAATTTCGTCGCTACCGCTACCACCCTCTTCGCTCTCCATACGTGACGCATGGCATTTGAAGCAATTGTCGCGGCGCTTAAAATTCTGTGCTCCACACTACGTAAATAGACTAAATTAATACATTGCGGGAGAAGAAGGGAGAACGAACCTTAATGCAAAACCAGTCCGAGGAAGCCTTATGTGACGGTGGCTTTTCCGAGTTTTGGCAAAGCTCTTTGGGAATGCTGTATTGCATAATTGCGCGATACTGGTCTTGCAGCATCAATACGCCCTGAAAACACAAACCAACATTGTTAATTCCTTCTACCATTCTTATCAACCCTCTCTCAAAAGAGACACTGCAGGAGTAAAAATTTGGTTTTGATTCTTCGCAATTAGACTCTTTGAACTCAAATTTAACTGAATTTGCTACGCAGACCAATTTTTATATTCCGACACAACTTATACAATCGGAAAAAGAAATGTGAGTTCCTTCTTCCAGTGAACGGTAAAAAAGTAGATCTGCGTGAACTTGAAATATTTTAAAATCGTTGTTGAATGTTGCAAAACAATCGTTACAGGTACATTATTTTAAAGTAAGTAGGCAGATGGACTCGATTCCTTTATATTTAAACCTTTTAGAACGGTTCCGGTTTTTAGAAACTAATTTTTCAGTATTTTCGAATCTGGTAGAAACTTTTTTCCAAAGACTAATGACGAATCGTTTGTTATAGTCCCTTTTTTCGAACTGTTCGAAGCATCAACGACCCATGAATATAATCTTGACAAAAGTGCATTTATCGTTTCCATTGTCTGTAGGGTTCGAAAATCAATAACCAATACACAAATAATTATATTAAGTGCTATATCCTTCTATGTGCACACCTAAAGTTCATAATATCAAAGTATATAAGAAACACATTTAAAAAAACTGTTTAGCCACGCACATTTTTTCTAAAAAAACAAGTACAACGGCACTTTTACGCATTTAGTCGCTAATTTCCGAAATAGTAAAACTAAACGTTACCTAACTTTATTCAAGTAATTATAAAAAGAAATAAAACTTACATGGTAGCTGTACTCAATAACAAACATTTTACCTCCTCTTGCAACTGCATCTACGTCTAGACTACAACTGACGAATGCGCGTCTCCATTTAAAAAATTGTTGACGTTAACATTATTACTATTGAGAATAAAATAATACCAACAACTTCATTAGATGAGTAATTCTCCATAATGGAAGATAATAAACAGAAAATTAAACAAGAGGTAGAAGCAAAGGTTATGCCTGTGAATGATTTTTTGAAAAATGTTTTTAAGACTGTGGGAATGTATCAAAAACAGACGGTGGTCGCCATTCTAACAATCCTGCTTTTATTACAGTGTCTTATTCACAGATATTCATCTAGCTAGAAGGTTCAGTGTTGGACCTGATATAATTTGTTTGTAATGGTTTTGCACTATTTTCACTTAACTGTTGGAATTGCGAGATACAAAATGTCATGAAGCGGTCATTTTAACCCTCCCGGCCCGGTAGTCTGAAACATCATGTACTCACCGCAGTGGGGTAGCGGCGTTACCCCAGCTTAAATGTTGTCTATTAACAACTGAAACGGCTTTATTTCTTTTCTGTTTACATTTTATTAACAAGAGCCAGTTCATGATTTTGAACTTTCTGTCCGTCCGTCCGTCTGTGTACTTGATAACTCTGCCCGCTTATGTACATGATACCTCGTGAACGGTTTCGAATTTTTCAATTCTGTTTTCAGTAATAGACAGACAATGGTCAAGGAATCTAATTAAATTTTGGTAATTTGGACTTTCTGTACGTCCGTCTGTGCACATGATAACTCGCGAACAGTTTCGAATTTTCCAATTCTGTTCTGGGTAACCGACCAACGCCAACAGTTATGTTATGACTTATGACCGTATTTAGTTTAGTTAATTTAATGCCAATTTCCTTAAAATGACATATAATTCACGTAAAATTGACAGAACAAGGATTACCTGGAAGGACAGTGCCCTTAAAGTCACGAAAAAAAGGTTTAAAAAATTTACATCTACGAACAACTGATTTCATTTAATTTATATTTAATATCTCATTAAAAATATTCTCCATAGAATAGATATATCATTATGGGTTTGTTCTCTCATTGCGCAGTTCACGTAATTTGTTAGGAACAATTCAAAACAAAAATACGCGTTCTAGTTATCAATAACAGTTTCCATTTTTTTTCAGCAATGAATAATATAGGAGTTCTGACCCGCGAATTTCCAGTCTGGTTCTTTTTTAGTTCGGTTAGAGTCCCTGGCTGATAACGATTGCTTCTTGCAAAATTCAACAAAACGTTAGATTTACAAAATATTTCTGCTGGGAGTTTCATCACGCCCATATGATATGCCAAAAATGAAAAGGACAAAATGAACGGTACTAATTTATTGTCAGTCTATTTTGATGCAAAAGTAGTAATCTCATAGAAAAAGTTGTAAACCTTGTATTGAACTATACCGACTTTACAGATTCTTCGCATTTGTAAGATACCTGTTTCATCTCCATCCACCGAGTGGCCTCCGCCAGGGTAGAAAACTCGACAAAGGCGAAACCGCGTGATGCACCTAAACAGCACAATAGACACCAATGGCATTACCTAACCCTTACAACCGAAAATATGCACAAATATGACCTAAGGACAACCTTATATCCAAGCAAATAATAATAAAAGGAAATTACCTGTGTCTTTTTTCCTGATTAGGCGAATATCCTTTGGCATCAATCCACATTGAATAATATCTTGTCGGATCTAAAATCGACAAACGTCAACATAGCGTGACAGACAACTCATTCAACTTACATCGTTTTCTGTTATGTGCTGCGCTAATCCTCTAATCATAATTGTGTTATTAGGTGGCTGGCTTTTGTAACCAATGATTTCGGATCCGCTAGCACCAATAACGGCCCCATTTGGACTACGTTCACTGTTAACATTACAGATGTACAACAATCATTATTGGATGCTTTCATTAGAAATGCGTAGCTTGCCCATGAAATGAAACTGCTAACCAATCATACCTATCTACACTATCCCTATCATCATCCCGGTAAGATCTGTCCCGATCACGAGCTTTTCTCTCTTCCGATTTCCGTTCCCATCTGCTGCTACTTCTCGATCGTCTGTGGTAGTCCCTATCTTTGTGTGAATCATAATCTCTATCTTTATGATATCGATCACGATCTCTGCTTCTCGATCTTGTCCTTCTACTGCTTTTGTGTTCCCAAGACGAATCTAAATCTCTTCGCCCATATTCGCGATCGCTGTCACTATCTTGGTAATCTGCAATTAAAGTAAAGGGTCAATGAATTCTGTCAGCCATTTGCAGCAGTGTATAGCTATTGGATTAATAGGATTGACGACTGCATGTCGTTCGATGTTTTAAAGAGCATCTCATTAGCCGTCCTGCCTTAGCCTGTGTTTACCTGTAACGCCATTAATTTGATGTGCGGATGGGATGGCGTGAGAGGTACCTGAGCGTTCAGCTGTTATTAAGGCGATCTGCCATAGTCGATATCGTTTATGGCAAGTTGAACCTGCTTTTGGTGCACTGGGCAGTATCCGCCCATAGCAGTACGCGCCGTATCTTTGACCCCCAGTCACTTACAAATGATAGATACTAGGGTCTCAGGTTGCAGTTCTCCGGTCGTGAGCATATGTCTTCTTTCTTGAGGCAGTTTGCCACAAGTTGTTGCACCTGTTGCAATGCCCGACATGAATGTGCTTCTTTACCGGTACTCTGATGAGGTCAAGATTTACGTATCCGCTTTTCCGTATTGCCTTAGTCTTTCGGGCTGACCTCGACAATCCAGTTTTCACGCTGGTGGTTTTGGCATCGTCTTTTTCCCACCACCTTCACCTGGTCGCTCTTAGCTCCTTTCTCAAACACTTCCTCGTTTTGCGTAAGCAGCCTCTCCTTTAGCATATCGTCGTCGGCGTCCACTCCTGTCACTATTAGTCTTGAATTAAGGGCTCTCAGTTCCCTCGTGGCATGCTTCCACTGACAATGCCAAAGAGAGAAATTCATCATAACTAGATGAACTACCTACTCCATGAAGCCATGTTTTAAAACTGGGTAGTTTGTTCCCTTACCAAAAGGACAATTTGTCGCGCCTTGTCGCGCTGCTTGTCAGAATAGACCCCTACAGTCTGAATATTATATTTTTTATACAAAAAAACGAAAGGGCGCGACAAAGAGACAGTATCGACCGCACTCTCCGACCTTTATCGCCAAAAATTTGGTAACGATTCCAGCTGCGTAAAGATGTAATAAAATGATTCCCTCAAAAATATGGAAAGGTTACAGAAGGAGCAGAATTATCCTTTGCCAACATTATTTTTTTAATTTATTGGTGTATATTTTTCTTTCATTTTTTGAATTCAGGATTTTTCCACATTTAATCATGTTACTTTTTTATGGGGTCCTAATAAAAAAAATTATCCAGAAAACAAGATGTTAGAAAGATCGCGTGCAGTACGACCGACTCACTTTGTTTTAATAAGCCCAATGATCCACACACTCTACAACATATATGGGCAACCCACGGCCCGCGAGCCTGATCCGGCTCGCAGACTAGTTTTGTCCAGCCCGCTAACCTAATTCATAGTTAATACTTCATACGGTCCGCTAAGTTACATTAAAAATTCGAAATAAACTGATCCATCGTTCCTCTAAATGGGGTTGAGTGATATCAAAGATTAAGAAAATCGGATCTCAAAGCCTTCCCCATACATTTATTGTTGTACTATTAAAACACGACTATAGTTTCGGCGATAATCGCCATCATCAGGGAATTAATGATTATTAGTAATCTAGGGACATTAATGATTATCTTATACGTGCAGCATCTGGTGGACGCGATCCGCAGTTTCCAAGACGTTTGAAAGCCTCTTTGAAAAACATTTTTTGTTTCAGAGATATCGCTAGGCGTTTCCCAGAATTTTCGTCGCGATATATACCGGCTGGGCCAATACAACGATACGTGTTTTGGGCTTACGAAACATTTTTAAGCCATATATTGCAACAAATCTTAAGAACATAAATGAAAATTTGGATACAAGCTGAATATGGGGATTTCGAGGGGGATTTATTACCCACGTCTGGTAAATTTTGTATGCAAAATCGTGTCAATTTTCAGGAGTACTTTGTTTTTTTTAATGATTTTTACGAAAGCAAAAAATAGGTCAAGACCAAAAAGAAATAGATAATTATTTATTTCTTTAATTAAACATACTTTTTATTTGGATTCTCAACTGTGGCCCGTCGCGCATATGAAAAATTTTATTTTGGACCCTTGGAAAAAAAAGGTTGCTCATGCCTGCTCTACAGTAAAATTACGCTCATTCTTGATACCTATATTTATCAGATATTGATGAATGTTTTCCCCGTTAGGTAATTTCGAACGTGACCTTTATGAAAGTCCTTGAACTTGCTATGGCGGTGAGCTGTCTTGGTATTGGAGCAAATTAGCGCCAAAAGTTTGAACACGCGACGCTATAAGAATTCCGACATTTCGCTGACACCTTCTAATACTATCTCACGTAACAGTTTATAAGTTTGAAAAATATCCCTTTTCAAATTGGCGGGATGCAGTTTTTCTAGCTGTAGTTTTTCAGACGAGTGCAGCCAGAATCGAAAAGGGGAAATATTGGAAAACGCATCAGAGATTTTATACTATTTTCGAATGAACCGCGAAAATATTAATTTTTGCGTTATTTCATTACATCCACCTGCAGGTTGTACTGATAAGCTACTCCTAACTGCTACAACATTCCACAAAAAGAAAACAAACACGTTCATCGTCGCCCCCTTATCGTGTCGTGAATTTCGTGCTTGGAACACCAGCCAAAAAATAATGAGAAAATGAGGAAACATTTTAATTTTCTGTTTGTACAAAATCTTATTAAACAAATATTAAATATTTTAAGTTTTAACAAGTTTAATTAAATATATTAGATAATAATTTCGAAATGTAAAAATGCAAATTTACGCACGATGGAATGCTGGCCCTATGAAATAGCAACTCAGCATACGGTAGCCTTCAACCGCAACCGATAACATGACTTTTCCAAAATACGGGCCTCCCATTTACGACTTTTACGAAAACTTTTTATAACACTTTCGGAGCCAATGAAGCAATTTGAGAACACGGGCTCGGGACGCGCCGACAAGTCCGGGCCAACTTTCAAATTCCCACGGCGCGTTAGGTTTGGTTTTAAAGACTTCAGTCCAAAAATCTGGTTTGAAGATTTCATCTGCACCAGAGTCACTGTTCATCGATCTTTCGATTCTGCTTCTTAGGTTCGTTTACGGAGACATTAAACCAGCCCTTTTGTTTTTTTTAACTCTTTAATGGTGCTAACTGTGCTTTTCATTTTCCTCAATGCGAATCCACGCATCGTGTTGATCGTTTCTGTTGGAATTTACCAAATACAAATCAATAACCGAAGCTTTCCGCGACGCGCCGTCACAGGCCTACACACGCCGCGTTGCATCGCACCTTTGAAGTTACCGACTTTCGACGGTTCTGTCGCGCCCGGCTTGAGATATCACGAGCCGTGTGAAATCAACTTTAGAAACCAAAAAGGCAAGGATGACGCGACCATTCGACCTGGGGCGCTCTCGGGGTGGCCACGTGGCGATCACGGTCTGGCCGCGTTAAAAAAATTTTTAGCCAGCCAGTGCCGTATTTAGAGAGGGGCCAAAAGGCAATTTTAGGGGGCGACAAAAAATTAGAACAGAATGAAAAATCCTGTAATGTTAATTTATTAAAAAGCTGAATAGACGCGTTCGCAGGTGCAGTGATTGTACCTATCTGTAACTGTAACTTGAGCTTAACGTCTCACGTGTCACGTCTTTGCGTTTTGAGCACATCTACCTTACCTACATATAGAAATAAAGCAAAACCACTGTTTAATTTAAACAATGGCAAAACTGAACGTATATTTTTATATACAGTGCGATATCACAAAAACCTCAGTAAACGTTTTTGGAACAATCCTCGAACAGAGATAACTTTTTTAATGGAAACCCTGTTTTTATGCTGAATTTGGAAAGAAAATGAAAGTCTGACTAAATACGCTAAACAGTTGAAGATAGGTATAGGACATTTACTGAAACCTAGAATTTTCTGGAGAATGGTATCGTTGAGTGAAGGATTTAATTACTCACTGACGGTATAGTTAGGTACATGTGTCAAAATATGCGCAATCCGAAAACATTCTCGATGAGTCTTTCGAGTTTTGACTGTACCATGGGACTGTACGTATTTATATCAACTATTCGATGTAAAATTCTCATTGTTTAGAGTCTATCAAGGCATTATTCTCGCTTAGCATTTACCGAGAAGTTGAATTTATGAGTTGATAATTAGATGCCTACGAGATGAATTTACTTGCGCATTTTTGCCCCCCCCCCCCCTCTTCTATTTTGGAACCACGTGCATTTTGATCAGGAGAATCACATAAATAATATTATGATAGGTATAATTGTAAACATCAATGCCCAGTCCTTTGCTATTTCGTTATATCGGTTTAATTGTATTTTGTAGCAAAGATCATGATCTTTGCTTGTATGATCTTTGCTTGTAGTATACACTTTCTGCAGTTCAAGTTTAAGTAGAAAACAAGTTGTAAATCAGCATATGCATGATTAAAGCGCATTTTTGGTAATGCAGGTCAGTATTTTATTAGCGAAGTTTAAAATTATCGATCTCACGAGTAATTTTGGCTGCCTTAAATCATTAATTTTATTTAATTTCAATTGACTGTAGGTACGTCTTCATTTTGTAAAACAAATCACAAAGTAAATAATAAGTTTTTATACTGGTAGCGCTATCTAACGGTAAAATTATAGCACCTCCGAAACCCATATCGAAATTATTTTCTTCAATTATCGATCTCACAAGTAATCTAACTCAAAATAGACTAGTGCCTGCACATCTACACTATAGCAGAAAGCTTTTAGTGAAAATTTGAAGTCTCTAGCTATTGTAGTTGTGCAGATCTAACGCGGACAGCCGGCCTGCCAGCAATAACGAATATAATAGCGTATTTTTTTTCAAAAATGCCCTAAAAATCATTTTTTTAACAATTAAGAAAGCGACACTAACACATACCACACACTCTTTGAACTAAAAAAATACGCTAACATTTTACGAATTGTCTACCAGAAGTTATATTTGAAACATTAATTGTTCGGGACCAGCCTACTATCTATTTTTTTGCGCATTTTGCAACAAACTTAGATGTGCTATTGCAGTCACTTTGTCTGTCTGCCCGCC